TAAAAAAATTAAATATTGATTATACAATATTTATATTTTAAAGTAAACATAGAGAAAATAAGAAAGAAGAGAAAGATATGTGTGAATTTATGAAGTTATTTGTCATTAGAAAGTAGTTTGACATTGGGGTCCGTGTAAAAAAATGATTAACATAATTCATATATTTATCATTTTTCAGGACCCTATGTCTCATTTTTCTCTAGTATTGAGGGGCAACCCCGAATGGATTTATTGTATCTGTATCCTTCTAAAGTAGTTTCGGTTAGGTCTATTAATTTTCGACTCGACATGTTAACACGACACTAATCGAATATGAAATTAATGGGTCGAACACAAAATTAAACGAGTTAATGGGTTAAAATGAGTCAACACGCTTAACCACGAAAAAAATTATGTCGGATTCATGTCAAAATAAGATCAACTTGATTTTGAACTGATTAATCCGTATATTTTAAACAGGTTGACAAGATTCGGACACGAGCCCGTTTAACCCATTTATGGCAGTATAGTTTGTCTATTATGTATGACTGATGTGATCTTAACATTATTATTTATTAGTTTTTGCTTATACTATGATAATTGACAATATAGTTTTTAACATTATTATGACAGTATACTAGTATAGTTCTTGCTTTAATTTTTTAGTTGAAACTTAAATGCATTTTAATTAATTTTACTCATGAGATGTGTAAAAAAAATTATTTTAAATTTTGGATTAATGATTGAATGATTTATTTAATGGTAATGAACTGGTGTGAAAATATGTTATGTGTGTTAAATAAGTTTGTTTTATCTGTGTTAAACAAGTTAAACATGTCATGTTATGTGTGTTAACCCCAAAACGATCTGTTTATTAAATGTGTCAAATAAATCGGGTTCGGGTAATCCGTTTAATGATCAGGTCAGGTTAGTATTTATACATTTCAACACGATTATTAAAAATATCATATTTGAGTTTTGAAATTTTTGACACCAACTTGAAATCAATCCAATATAAAATGATCCAACCCGACATGGTTGACATCCTTAGTGTCAGTCTTACCCATGTTCAAGCAAAACACATGTATCAGGTCCAAACTAAGTTGTTGGAATTTTTGAAATTATAATAGGTCTAAATTATAATACCTTTGAATTTTTTTTTTTTTTGAAAATTGATATTACAAAATCATTGACAATGAAATGAAAAAATTATCCTTTTGATTGGTTAAGTCTTTTTTTGTTTTCGTACATGATAATGATAGGATTTTAGGTATGAGCCGCCATAATCAAGGGCCCAATAAGTCTAGAAGACCTCTACTAGCACAGTGGCCCAAATGGATCGGAGCAACTTGTCCCCGGTAAGAGTAGGATAGTCCGCACCCAAAGGGTAAAGTCCAACAATACCAGAAGGCTTGAAGACCAGCTCAAACCCAATCCAACTCAACTGGAGGTCAGCTTGGGTTAGAGGAGCTCGGCCCAATGCCTATCCTGGAATTCCCTGTTGTGCCACGTGTCCCAATAGCGGAAGGATCACTTTTGACATCCATAACGAACACGCACTCTCTGCCACAGAGAATATTGGTGTGCGTAACCACTCAAGGACTGTGTGTGCAGTGGCATCATGTGACAAAGATCACTACAAGACAAAAGTAGAAGAGCCCACAACATCAACAGAAAAGAAGCAGGACGTCTAGAAAACCCTAGAAGAATCACTTGTATAAATAGGACACCATTACACTATAGTAAAAATGGGATCGTCTTTCTCGCAACACTCTAAGCCATCTACATGGAAAAGTTTGAGTTATCTTATCATCTTCTTGTAAGGGTCCTGAGCCAGCAACACCTTTGTAATTACCTATTTCGAGTAATACACAACCCCCAAGAGCAAGAGACTCTCTTACAGTGGACGTAACCTTAGTCTTTCGGCTAAGGTGAACCACTCATATTATTTTCTAATTTTCCTCATACGGCCTCATCCATTTCTAGCCTTAGCATTTACTCTACATCTTCCCTGGGCCAACTAGCCTCAGTTCTGGACTTGGGCTAAACTATTTTCGAGCACCATCAGTACACTTTAAAATACATCATACCTTAAAATTTAATACTATTTGTTATTAGCCAAGAATAAACAAAAAAATGGACAATTGAAATTGTTGGGAATCGTATACATATTGCAGAAGCATAGAACCAAATACATACCTTATTCGCTTTAATCTTAAAAATCGTTTGAGGATGCTCCACATACTTTAAAATCCAAATCAACATCTTTTCTATAATTGATGTAACAATATGGTGTTGTTATATAAGATAAATCAACACCAGATTTTTTACAGCACAAAAGCCTTACAAATGTTATGTAGGGAGAAAGAAGAGAGTTTTAACGTTAGATGAATTATCATAAGGTATCTCATCTATTGAATTATCTTAGGTTTATATAGGCAAGCAATAAGTATCATTAAAAGATACATTTTATAGAGACATGTCTATTAATATTTAACAGACATGTATTTTAGATGATAAAGGATATCTCTAAAAGACATGCTCATTTGAGCATTTTTTAATTTGGGTCAACCCATCATGGGTGTCCTAGTTTAGATTCATGA